AGCCATCATTGTTGTTTGGCAGGCCTGGGCTGGATTTGAACCTGACACCTTAGGTGTATGTGGCTGGTGCCTTAGCCACTTGAGCCACAGGCGCCGAGCCGATACAGGTTTTCTAAAGAACATTCCACACTAGCTGAACCCACAAACCATTCTTCTGCTTAGATGTCCAGTTAAGCTCACAGATAAAAGACATTCTTGAATTCGCTCTCCTTGGCAACCCAGATGTCAACTAGGATCTCCTTGTATGTTCAAGATCCTTGTCTTCTTGCTGTTTTATTTAGGTGTTTTCCAGTAAGGAGGTAATTTCAGCCTTAGAGAAATTCTCGTGGTATCTGTTAAAATCCTTTTTTCCCACCCTACTTTAATGGTTTCATCTTCAGTAGGATAAGCACATAAACTGATGGTAACATAAAGGCCCCTTTGAGTTGACCCACTGGTAGGACTGGGGGCAATCCAGTTGGCTGCACTGTCCACATAGGAACTGGTCCATTCAGATAGCTAGCTCAGGTCTCCTTTCTACCTGAGAATGACCGGTCTATACAGAGCAAAGTATTGGGTGTAGTGATGATTCTCTGCTAGCTTCTCCAACCACCCTGTCTCTTCCTCTCTACATCTCCCTGAAACAAAGTTCCAATGTGTCCAAAGACACTTATCAACTTAAATTCTATATATTGCATTTTAAGTGTTTTATATTGTATTTTGTACAAAAGTAGAGAGACTATCCCTACAAGCTTTCATGTGCCTACCTATCACTTACTTCAGCATTTGTCAAAATCCCTACACAGTAAGCTACAACTTACATTTCTGTTGCTTTAATCCTACTCAAGGTTGGATGCCACTGTAGGTTTGAACCAAGAATGACAATATAAGCAGCACTCCAGAAAAATTAGTTTTACTTTCTTAAGAGATAATTTGTGGAATGATTCTGGAGGGAAAATATAACCATGGGATTATGTTGCCAGTAAAGATACAGTACACGATGTGTTTTCTTTAACATATTGATATTTCAGGATATCATTTACAAGGTCAAAACTGTTTTCAATCGTGAGTTTGATCTTGCATATAAACAAAAAGAGTTTGAAATTGCCCGCGTGAAGGAAAGAAATGTTAGAATTCAAGAAATTATTTTAGATCTGGAGTTGGAAGAAAACGTCTGGCAGCCAGAATTTGAGGACTCTGAGAAGCCAGAGAGAACTCTTGTTGTGGAAGATGAGGAGGTACTGACTAGCTATACCATCCTTTCTCTTCTCTGTCCTGGAATTTTCTTTCCCCAGCTCCTCTTTATTCATCCTGTTTACACTCCTGGAAGCAGCTGTGTTAGGTGTCCTCAGTCACAGGTGGCCATATCAGGTGACATTGCCTCAGTAGTAACAAAGATTTCTTTTATGCATCTCCTAGAGTCCAGGGAGAATTTGGACACTGAGCCTAGGAGGAAGCAGGAACCAAAGACTGGAGCCTTGTGGGGAGTCCAGAAGGCCACCTTCCTCATCTCTTAGTTCACTTCTGTCTGCATTTCAGTTTCCTCTCCCAATTTCTACTTTGTAGCTTCTTCATTTAAGAGAGCAGCTGATCTGAATTAGAATCTCTTAGTTCCAGTTCCAAATTTACCTGAGAAGTGGCTCTGTGGCCCAGGTTGGTCCAGTGACTGTGCCCAACCAGAGACACTGGGTCACACTGTGGGAATGAGGCCCACAGAGCTCCAATAATTACCAGATTATTCAGGCAATGTGGATCCCAGAAAAAGGGGGCTGTCTGGACAGCCTTCTTTAAGAGTATCGACACAGAGGCAGTTGCAAATAAAATAAATATTTACTTAAGGAAAGCAATTAAAATGTCTATTTTCATTTTTTTAAGTTAAAAAAATATGCTAGCTAACACTCAAAAACTCTTGCTCACATGAAACTAACTGGATTACTTGGGGCAAAAGATAATAGTGGTGTTTAAAAGTAATAGCAAATATTTTTACACTCCATTAGACACCGGACACTGTTCTAAGTGCCTAGGTAGACTGAAACAAATCATTATAACTTATCATTATAAGACCTTCTAAGGCAGGTACGAATATTACCCCATTTTACAGATGAGGAAAGTGAGACAGAGAGAGGTTAAATAGCCTGAATATAGTTACAAAAGCTAGTTAGCATCAAGTTGGGGTTTGACCCCAAACTGTCATGCTTCAGAGTACATCTCCTTAACCTCCACACTTTGCTGTACTTAACTAAGCAACTCATTTTTTCCCCAAGCCAGACTCTTGCTATCACATGACCTAGCATTCAGCAAGGCGACACAAGGACTTCACTCTGCCCTGCTTGGGGCAATCACTTTTTTTTTAAATTTATTTCAGATTAATATAAGGGTGCCTATGATTATATTACATTATTTGTGTTTGTTAGTAAAATCTGAGTTGCACCTGGGAGGTGTGCATTTACCCCTACATGGTGCCCATTAGGTGACAGCTTTCCGAGCTCCCTCCCCCCCCCCCTTCTCCTTCCTAATCCTCTTCTTGAATTTAATTGTGTTTTTCTCTCATATGGGCATTGGGTTGCTCATCTACTAGTTTCATATTAATATTGAGTTACCTTGGATGCTGGAGCAATCACTTTGTACCTGCATAATTAGCCGCACTTGCTTCTCCTTGTACTTTAGCCCATTCTACATTTAGGAAAGTGATCTTGTTACAAGCCAAACATTATGTTCCTCCCCTGCCTAGGCCCTTACTATGGCTGCTCATTTCCCTTAAGACAAAGCCCACAAGTCCCTTCCTGACTGCCCCCATCTCGTCCAGCTGCCCTCACATCTGGCTCTGTTCTAGCCACACTTTCATTCTTGTACACTCCTTGGAATAACCCCAGCCCTTGACCTCCTAGGACCCCTCTACCCTTCAGGATTTGCCTTAGATGATACTTCTTTGAGTCACCCTCTCCCTCCTTAATCTAAATCAGGACCCCTGTTATAATGTCTTTTGTGACAGAGACAAGCTTTGAGAGCTAATAGAGAAGTAACAATGTATTTTTCCAACCTCTCATTTTAGGCCTCATTTTCATTCCAAAATAGGAAACTAGTAGCAAAGTCTGAACAGTCCTGTTCATCCAGCCTCCTCTCAATGAACGGAAGGAAAGTCTGGTTTGAATTTTGTCAGAATGGCTGCAGGAAAGTGCATTTTCTCTTTCAGATTAGAGTTCACAAACATGTTAATCCCTGGCTAAGAGCCAAAGTGCAGTTGCGGGCGACCCGTGAAATGGAGCTCCGGCTTCAGGCTCAGGTACGCAATTTTGCTCACACAGTACCTCAGACCCTCTTCCTTTAAGGATACTGATTCCTGGTTTGGTTTAATCATGTCACACTGTGTATTGCACCATAGAAGCACGAGCAAGGCATCCGTCACTATCAGAGGTCACTCGAATCCCAGCTGGCCTCCTTCCCTTCTTTCCACCTTCCTGCCCACCTTCCCCAAACCCAAATGGAGCCAAGCTACCATTGGTGGGAGGCTGCCCCCGCTGCCATTCAGAGTGTCAGGTCTCTGTCTCAGCAGCACTCTTGAGTCTGGTTCTCTCCTAGAGCACCGACACAAGGCACCGAGCCCTGAAGGACATGATGGGAGGTGTTCTGGAAGTGAAGAGGGAAGACATTTTAAGAATGGTGAGATTTCTGGCCATCCCCGGGGGAGGTGGGATGGGTGGAAAGGGCTGCTTACATTTTACCATTTGTGTCCTATATGAACCTGAGTTTTAGAAATTCTATAGAAACACATATTATACAACCTGTTAGTCCCTTAAACTGAAGACTTGCCTTCCAATCTGACAAAAAGCAAACAAATGAATAACAACAAGTAACCACAATTGTTTGGATCCTTATAGAAGGCAGGAATACCACTTTATCCAATTCTCAGATGCACCAGGAAACATATTCTTGGAGCCCAGGTGTAGCAGCACATACCTCTGAGTCTATCACCTAAGGGACTAGAAATATCTCACACCTCCCACTCTTACCCAAGTCACAAAAAAACAGGTGTAACATTTTATCATATCCGAGGCATCAGGTCATTTCCTTGCCTATGTAAAGGGCTGTCCTTTTGGGGCTTTTTTTTTTTTTTTTTTTGAGACAAGGTCTTGCGCTGTATCCTCTGCACTGTCCTAGAGTGCAGTGACATCATCATAGCTTACAGCGACTTCAAACTCCTGAGTTTGAGCCATCCTCCTGCCTCAGTTTCTGGAGTAACTGGGACCATAGGCATACCAAAATGCCTGGCTAGTTTTGTTATTTTTTGTTGAGACAGGTCTCACTGTTGGTCAGGCTTATCTCGAACTCCTGAACTCAAGCAATCCACCCAACTTGGCCTCCCAGAGTGCTGGGATTACAGGCGTGAGCCACTGCACCCAGCCAGACTGCACCCTTTTAAAGGGCTTCTGTTTCCTCACTGTAATGATAACTCTGAGGTTTCACTGCTCTGCTATGCTTGTGTTTGAGCTGCAGCATATGCTTTTCTTTATATTTTCAGACAATTCCTCAGCCTCCTTTCATGGCAAAACCTGATGCTATGTGGACTGAAGAGGAAAAGAAACAATTCAAAGATTATGAGAAAAAAGTCAAGGAGTTAAATGAAGAAAGAGAGAAGTATAGAAAGGTAAGACGAGCAAAGAATTAATATAGCCTACCGCATTCAAGGTTTTGTTTCAGTATCTTTTCAGGTGTTCTTTGTTCTTTCGATGCCTTCAATAGCTTAAGGATGGTGTTTCAGAGAATTTCAGAGTACGTAAAGATAAATGTATGGGGTACAAACAGTTTAAAACAAGAAGAACATATAGCTATGGTTCTAAAATGTGACTGGTTTCAACATTTCCCACATCATTACAATCCATTTGGTCCTTCACTCATTCTTCAGATGTTTACCGAAATACCTTTTATAGCACATTCAAGTCACTGCAGGGTATTGCTCTATCTTGTCTACCTGCATTTGAGTTCTCAATCTCAAGGAAAAGATTTGAGAAAAGAACGACAAGCGATGCAGCAGATACTTAACAATCTAAATGGGGGGGGTGGTTGCAATGCGGTTCTGCTACTTGTATCCCCTTCCATTGCCAAGAAACACTCTCACATTCAACATTCTAACAATTACAATAGAGATGTAAGGAATGATGTTAAGCAAACAAGTCAGTAATACTCTTATGTGAGGAAAGTAAAATCATATCATTGCTCAAGGCAGGATAGCGCACCAGCCTGATGGTGGCTGTATCTCCTGAATATTCTTGGAACTTTCGTTCACCTGCCCATGTTTTTATTCACTGCAGTCCTCTATCTAGGACTTGCATTTTAACCTAACATAGTACTTGCTGAAAGCCCAAACCAGTAATCCTGAAAGAACTGAAGATTTCAAGGAGTTAGGGGATGTAGATGCCTAAGGAAGGAAAGGTGCCCTTTCCACTGCATTCACTACACGGTTCTGGGTTGTACAACAGTTGGTTCCTGCCTGCACCCTCACATCCTTGCTCCTTCCTCACCCTCAGCTACCTGAACCTCGGTCTTGAAATCCAGCACTCTGCCTTCTCTGCACCTGCACCCATGTAGTGAATAAAGAAAAGACTATTGACTAGCTTCACTCTAAATAGATTACCTGGGTCCCTAGAGCTCCTCAGTGGTGCTGCTCCATCCCCCCAGCCCACTGTCTCACACTAGAAGGCCAGTCTGCATCCCCAGAGATTCTCCTTAAAAATATAAACTCACATTCCATCCATTGCCATCCTGGTTTGAGGGAAATGGAAGGACCCTGAGAATTTGCACTTGTGACAAGCTACTGCTGGCCAATGGAGCCTCCTTCAAATAACAGGATTGTAGAGGACCATTTCACACCTATTACAGTGTCCTCAAACTTTCAACACCTGATACTCTCAACCAACTCTCACCTTAGCTTCTATTTCACTGGGAGAAGAGAAACATCTAGAAGAGACACTCCTCATTCTGCTGCCATCTCTACTGTGTACTGCACTGAGACCATGGAGTCTGCCTCTGCTGCTTCACACCTGCCCAAGCCTGGTCCTGTACACCGCACCAGACACCTGCCCAGAGTCACTGCTCATCAGCGTTTCCCTCTCTAGGGACTTCTTTTCCATCAGCATAGTCAGATGCTATAATCTTATACATCATATAAGATGTACATATTTATATATCTATTTTAAAAATACCCACTTGAAGGAGTTCTTTCTATTATTCTTGTGGCATTTGAGGTAGGCTGAATTTATTTCAAAATAAAAAGTAAAAGAAAATCCAATTCCTTCGACCCCACTTGCCCTTAGATCTGATTCTCAATGTCTCTCCTCCTTCACATTAGAACTCAAAAAAAATCTATGTTCCCTGTCTTTATTTTCTCTCAATTAAAAAACCATTTTATTACAATAAATGTAAAATATATATATAAGTAGAGAGGACACTATTATATGACCCCCCATCTAGTTGCAACAAGTGTTTACTGATGGCCAATTTTATTTCATTTTAAGCCCTCACCTACTTCCTTAGCACTGAATTATGTTTTTCCAATTTTATTTTAGAATTGTGCAAATGTACAGAAATGTTACATGAATACTACAATCCATTTATTACGTTTTTATACCAACAGCACACATATACATACTGTACTCATCGATTTTTAATATTGCCACATTTGCTCTCTTTTTCTCCTGAATAATTGGAGATAAACTGGAAACATCATGACACTCCTAAATACTATAGCATAAATCTCCTAGGAGCAGAGACCTTCTGCTACATAGCCACAATGAAACTATCATACACAAGAAACTTAATTTGATGTAATGCTGCTACCTATATACAGTCCATATTAAAATTTTCCCATTGTCCAAGTAATGTGTGTCCTTCACAGCACTTTCTATTGTTGTTAATTTAAAAATCTAATCAATTGCAGTAAGTTTTTATTTAGTCTCCTTGAATCTAGAGCACTTCCACAGCTCTGGATTTGATTGTTTGATTATGATTAGATTCAGGTAAAATATTTTTGACATTAATGCTAAATATAAAATAGGCAATGCCGTGTGCTCAGCACGCCAGAACCAGAGGCACTGGATGTCAGTCCAGTGCAGGTGTCATGAGTGTGATCACTGGTAAGGAGATGTTCTCCAGACATCTCCATTATAAAAGTTCTCTCTCTCCTTAGTATTCAGTAAGTAATCTGTGGGGGGACGTTTTGAGACCCAAAACGTCATTCTGACTTTTTGCAACCACTGATGATCCTTGCCTGAATTCATTATTACTACACTGATTACAAAGTGGTGCCTTTCTAGTTTTTATCATTTATTCTGTATTTATTTAATTAGTATTCTTTAAAAAAACACTTTCCCTCTGCCTTACCCCAGATCAACTGTTTTCTAAAAATATATTCTTTTTAAAAACTAATGTGTTTTATTCCATTACTGTCATTGTTCTTTCGGACATTGAAAGCATCCAGAGCTCAAGAATGGCATCTGAGTTAGACTCTCACTGGATTAAAGACTTAAACTTAAGACATGAAACCATAAAAATTCTAGAAGAAAGCGTAGGGAAAACACTTGAAG